CAAGTTAGCGGTCATTTGAAATCTAAACCACTTGTAGATTACTTTTGCTTACAGTGGAAGGATAAATTTCATTCTTTTGAATCTTCTCAAACTTTCAAAACCTTTGCCAGACTCAAAGGTATCCACAATTTTCTTTCTGAGTGCCTTAGCGAGTTCTCTTGGCATGATGAGACACGCACCATACATCAGTAGCAAAGAGGAACAGCAGACCTAGGTATCTGAGATTTAAATAAGACATATTCTACTTGCATACTTCCTAAGTTCTAATCATTGACACTTAATTTGGAATAAATGATTGTAGTTTAATGGATTTGAAGTGGTAGTAAATGTAAAAATCTACTTATATTTTCCATTTGGCAAATTTTACCTAAATTATGGGAATGAATAACCCACATCAATTGTATGTATCATTTGTTCAAGTTTATCACCTTTGAGTGAAGATTTAATGCTTACCGGATCAAATACTTTAAAAAGTCAACAATGTACTGTACGTTTACAGTAGATACCATACTGTGTCTACTGTAAAAGTAGAATGAACCCTTATTTTGATGAGATTTTAAAGGCACAAAAAGGCACAAAAATCTGTATTAAAGTTTAGTTTATATAAAACATTTAATCAATTTTTTATTGTACAAAACATTAAAAATTCCCATAAACCCACAAATACAGTCAGTTGTACAACAATTATATACAAACACAGCGTGTTTAGGACACTTGACGAGTTTCAAGACATCAAACAAACTCTTCTTCAGAAGAGAGAAGAGAGATCATGCATCAAATGATGAATGAAGAGAACCACCACTGTTTTTTTGCACAGAGAAACAAGGGACATATGCATTGATCGCTCCCCATGTCCCCCCAGGTAGGAACACGTGAAAAAAAGTAATGCCTTTGGGGCTCCCAAGAGCGGCTAATCAGGGGCGCCCCTGGAGTTTAATATAAAAATGTCTCAACTGATGTAGTGATCACTATTTCAGGATGGGTATGAGGCAAAACTAAAATTTTATGTAATTTGACTTCATTTAACAGACCAAACAGCCAGCAGATCACCACTGTAAACTAACAGCATATGGGCCTTTTGAATCGTTAAGAATCCTACGTGGAGGTGTGACACGGACCATCAAATGGTTGCATATGTATCTATTTTAAAAGTCTACAATATCCTGTTTGAAACTTAAACTTGCATTACGTGTAATATTCCCATCGCATATGTTTCTAGAAAAAGCAGGTGCTGAAGCAGATATCAGCAGGAGACTGGTGACAACATAAATCAAAATATTTATTGCCTGTGTAGACTGGATTGTCAAAAATAACACTCAAATGGTTATTGAAACTATCATGTCAGAGCGGTAAGGTGCAATATTTCGGGGGCCACACAGGACCCCTTCATCACGTCTGATCATGGGGTCCTGCATGGCCCCAAAGGGTTGCACCTTATCGCTGTGATGTGATATTTTCAATAACAACTTGGACATTCTGACAATTCAAGGTGTGCTGGTTAGCTTTGCATTAAGTACACCTTTAATTTTGTTTAATCCCTGATTTATAAGATCTTATTCAGTGCTGCAAGGAATGATCAAAGTCTACAAGCTTTACAACCACAACCAGATATGACAACCCAAAATTGACCTGTTTCCTTCGCTCTAATTTTCATACACTTTAAAAGCAAAGTGATTAGTGTCCTACATCTGATTTAATACAGTTCAATCTGCTGGGATTTTTTATTGCATGTGGAGTTTAAAGAGGGTTTTTACTCAGTGGGAAGGTAAATATCTACAGTACTAAGTCTCCGGAAATGTCTCTGAACTTGGCAGGAGGGCTTCATATATTACCAGAGTGTATCTTTGACAAGGCTCTTCCACAGTGCATTTAAAGATATTAAAGATTGAAATTGTTAGTTCCAGACAAATCACTAATTTTAGTTCTGTCAACAGTATAATACTTTTTGATAAAGTACTAACTACTGCATATAATAGACTTAGAGAAGTAACATAATTACCAACTGTCATACAAGTGTAATTCATATTATTATATCATATTATAGTTGATTGTATTTGATTTTGTTACTTTTCTGTATACACATTCACACATTAGCATATATATATATATATATATATATATATATATATACTGTATATATATTCTATATTACCAAAAGTATTGGGACGCCTGCCTTTGCACACACATGAACTTTAATGGCATCCCAGTCTTAGTCTATAAGGTTCTCTTTTGGGAAGGCTGTCCACAAGGTTTAGGAGTGTGTCTGTGGGAATGTTTGACCATTCTTCCAGAAGCGCATTTGTGAGGTCAGGCACTGATGTTGGAAGAGAAGGTCTGGCTCACAGTCTCTACTCAAATTCATCCTAAAGGTGTTCTATCTGGTTGAGGTCAGGACTCTGTGCAGGTCAGTCAAGTTCCTCCACCCAAGCTCGCTCACTCATGTCTTTATGGAGCTTGTTTGTGCACTGGTGCGCAGTCATGTTGGAACAGGAAGGGGCCATCCCCAAACTGTTCTCACAAAGTTGGGAGCATGACTGTCAGGGCTCCCAGGTATGACCAGAGGTGTGTGACTGATGCAGGGAAACGCAGACTTCAGATATGTGATAAACAATACAATATATTAACACTAACCATACAAACATAAACGCAGTGCAATACTAAACATAATACAGTGCAAACAAACCAAACCAAACCACCCACAGATGACAGTACATACAAGCAAGCGTCGTCAGGCAGGCCGGGTCAATATCAATTGGGCAGGTAGGTACAGGGGGAGCAAGCAGAGAATGGTCGGGGTCACAGGCCAGGTTCAGCAGGTAGCAAGCAGCGTAGTACAGAGGGTCAGGCAGAGGGATGGTCAGGGTCACAAGCCAGAGATCAAAACAGGTAACAAGCAGCGTAGTACAGAGGGTCAGGCAGAGGGACAGAAACAGGATGCAGGACAGATACAGGGCCCAGGACAAACACAACACCAAGGCAGAGTCTGTGGGTCTGGCCATCCCTTAAATACCCCAGCATCATCAGTTCCAGGTGTTAGCTGGCTGAAAGGTTGAGTCTCTGATTGCTGGGAGCACCCGCTGGCCAGCCCTGGTACTGCAGATCAAAAGGCAGGTGAGTCCCACCATTGCTGGCCAGTCCATTCCTAACAGTACCCCCCCCCCAAGGAGCGGCCTCGGGACGCTCCAAACAGTCCTAGCTGGGCAAAATGTTTCCACCGCCCGGGTCTGGTAACTGGCGGGATATCAAAGACTGGCACACCGGGCAGGACTCCGGGCAGCGGCACACCCGGGCTGGACTCCGGGCAGAGGCACACCGGGCTGGACTCCGGGCAGAGGCACATCGAGCAGAGGCACACCGGGCAGAGGCACACCGGGCAGAGGCACATCAGGCAGAGGCACATCGGTCAGAGGCACATCGGGCAGGACTCCGGGCAGAGGCACATCGGGCAGAGGCACATCGGGCAGGACTCCGGGCAGAGGCACATCGGGCAGGACTCCGGGCAGAGGCACATCGGGCAGGACTCCGGGCAGAGGCACATCGGGCAGGACTCCGGGCAGAGGCACATCGGGCAGGACTCCGGGCAGAGGCACATCGGATTACCAGGCGAAGCAGCAGGCAGCGGGCCACCAGGCGGAGCAGCAGGGCACCGGGCCCCCGGGCGGAGCAGCAGGCACCGGGCCTCCGGGCGGAGCAGCAGGCACCGGGCCCCCGGGCGGGGCGACATGCATCGGGCCCCCGGCGGAGCAGCAGGCACCGGGCCCCCGGGCGGAGCAGCAGGCACCGGGCCCCCAGGCGGGGCGACCGGGCCCCCCGGGCGGGGCAGCAGGCACCGGGCCCCCCGGGCGGGCAGGCGACAGGCACCGGGCCCCCGGGGGGGGCAGCAGGCACCGGGCCCCCGGGCGGGGCGACAGGCACCGGGCCCCCGGGCGGGGCAGCAGGCACCGGGCCCCCGGGCGGGGCAGCAGGCACCGGGCCCCCGGGCGGGGCAGGCAGGCAGGGCCCCCGGGCGGGGCAGCAGGCCACCGGGCCCCCATTCGGGCGGGGCGACAAGCATCGGGCCCCTGGGCGGCGCAGCAGGCACCGGGCCCCCGGGCGGAGCAGCAGGCACCGGGCCCCCAGGGCGGGGCAGCAGGCACCGGGCCCCCCGCGGAGCAGCAGGCACCGGGCCCCCGGGCGGAGCAGCAGGCACCGGGCCCCCGGGCGGGGCGACCGGCGTCGGGCCCCCAGGCGGGGCGGCGGGCGCCGGGCCCCCAGGCTGAGGGGCGACAGGCATCGGGCCCCCCAGGCGGGGCGACAGGCATCGTGCCCCCAGGCGGGGCGACAGGCATCGTGCCCCCCAGGCGGGGGCGACAGGCATCGTGCCCCCAGGCGGGGCGACAGGCTCGTGCCCCCAGGCGGAGCGGCGGTGGGGCGCCGGACCCCAGGCGGAGCGACAGGTCTCGGGCCCTCAGGCGGAGCGGCGGGCGCCGGACCCCCAGATGGAGCGACAGGTCTCGGGCCCTCAGGCGGAGCGGCGGGCGCCGGACCCCCAGGCGGAGCGACAGGTCTCGGGCCCTCAGGCGGAGCGGCGGGCGCCGGACCCCAGGAGGAGCGACAGGTCTCGGGCCCTCAGGCGGAGCGGCGGGCGCCGGACCCCCAGATGGAGCGACAGGTCTCGGGCCCTCAGGCGGAGCAGCGGGCGCCAGACCCCCAGGTGGAGCGACAGGTCTCGGGCCCTCAGGCGGAGCGGCGGGCGCCGGACCCCCAGGCGGCGGAGCGACAGGTCTCTCGGCCCTCAGGCGGAGCGGCGGGCCGCCGGACCCCCAGGCGGAGCGACAGGTCTCGGGCCCTCAGGCGGAGCGGCGGGCGCCGGACCCCCAGGAGGAGCGACAGGTCTCGGGCCCTCAAGCGGAGCGGCGGGCGCCGGACCCCCAGGCGGAGCGACAGGTCTCGGACTCCTCAGGCGGAGTGGCGGGCGCCGGACCCCCAGGCGGAACGACAGGTCTCAGGCCCCCAGGCGGGGCGGCGGGCACCGAGTCACCAGGCACAACCGTGGGCTCCGAGTCAACTGGGATGACCGCTTGCACTGGGTCAGACATTGGATCGTCTGGCTGGACAGCAGGCATCGGGTCACCAGGCATCAGGTCATTTGGCTCGACAGCGGGGCACCGCGTCATCTGGCAAGGCAGTGGGCTCCGAGTCAACTGGTATGGACCGCGGGCACTGGGTCAGACATTGGATCGTCTGGCTGGACAGCGGGCACTGGGTCACCAGGCATCAGGTCATTTGGCTCGACAGCGGGCACCGCGTCATCTGGCAAGGCAGTGGGCTCCGAGTCAACAGGCACGACAGTGAGCACCGGGTCATCAGGTACCACGGATTTGTCTGGCTCGACAGCGCGGCATCGGGTCACCAGGTATGACAGCGGGCACTGGGTCACCAGGCATCAGGTCATTTGGCTCGACAGCGGGCACCGGATCAGGTAACCGGATCATCTGGATCAACAGCGGGCATCATCCGTAGGTTTAGTCAACTGGCCTAATAGGATCGTCAGGCTGGATCAGTTCATCATGCTGGGTAGAGAGGCATCAGGCTGAATGCCGGCGTCCGGCTGAGTAGAGGCTTCAGGCCGAGTAGAGGCTTCAGGCCGAGTAGAGGCTTCAGGCCGAGTAGAGGCATCAGGCCGAGTAGAGGCTCAGGCCGAGTAGAGGCATCAGGCCCGAGTAGAGGCTTCAGGCCGAGTAGAGGCATCAGGCCGAGTAGAGGCGTTCAGGCTTCAGGCCGAAGTAGAGGCTTCAGGCCCGAGTAGAGGCTTCAGGCCGAGTAGAAGCTTCAGGCCGAGTAGAGGCATCAGGCTGAAGAGAGGCATCAGGCTGATACAGGCATCAGGCTGAAGAGAGGCATCATGCTGCGTACCGGCATCAGGCTGAAGAGAGGCATCAGGCTGAGTAGAGGCATCAGGCATCAGGCTGAGTAGTAGAGGCTTCAGGCTGAGTAGAGGCATCAGGCTGAGTAGAGGCATCAGGCTGAGTAGAGGCATCAGGCTGAGTAGAGGCTTCAGGCTGATTAGATGGCTTCAGGAGTAAGGAGGCTTCAGGCTGAACCACGGAAGGCAGGCTCACCGGTTTTGGATACTGGCAGGATGGTATTGGTTGGAAAGAATTTTCGCTTTTTTCTGGTTTTTAAAACTACTGGAGCACTGCAAGTAAACACAGGTCTGCAAACGAATGGAGCAGCTGGAGACAGAGAAGAACTGGAGGATGGAACAGGAGAGGGAGCGCGGTTGCTACAGAGGGCTCTTTTACAGGGTTAAAGGCAGGATAGGTGCAGCGAGTGGGAACAGGGTACTGACATGCGGTAGATAGCAGGGCAGGAGGAGCTGTTGGGAATGCAGGAATAGAGTTTTGAGGAAATAGATTAGAAGCAGGACTGGGTCTTTGTAAGCTGACTGAGGCTGGGTGCAACAAATCTGTCCATGTCTGCAGTATGGGTTGAACAAAGCTGAGCTTACACAAAGCCTGTCTGGTCAATGACTGTACTGCGTTTTATACAATCTCTTAGTGTCTGTGGTGAACATGTGGAATAACGCTCCAGAAAGTAACCCACATCATCCTCTAATAACCATACCAGGGACTCTACCTGGTCTGCACTAAATGGTGGCAAAAATTCATCCCTGCATTCGGGGGAACCAGATGAAACCAACTCAGCACAAACCTCAATCAAAGGCTGCACCTCAGAGAACTCTGTGCCCTGATCTACTGATCTACTAGAACATGAGCGAGCCGTATACATTCTAGCAGTTCATCCCGGGTATACTCCTTCAGAGTTTGATAAGCATATTCCCTGTCATCAAACACTAGCAGATATAAATATTCAACCTCATCAAGATCCATCCTTCCCATCAACAAGCCAAGATGGCTTCCCTGTGCAGCCACTTCTGGTCAGGATTGGCCTTGGTGTAATGTCAGGGCTCCCAGGTATGACCAGAGGTGTGTGACTGATGCAGGGAAACGCAGACTTCAGATATGTGATAAACAATACAATTTATTAACACTAACCATACAAACATAAACGCAGTGCAATACTAAACATAATACAGTGCAAACAAACCAAACCAAACCACCCACAGATAACAGTACATACAAGCAAGCGTCATCAGGCAGGCCGGGTCAATATCAATTGGGCAGGTAGGTACAGGGGGAGCAAGCAGAGAATGGTCGGGGGTCACAGGCCAGGTTCAGCAGGTAGCAAGCAGCGTAGTACAGAGGGTCAGGCAGAGGGATGGTCAGGGTCACAAGCCAGAGATCAAAACAGGTAACAAGCAGCGTAGTTACAGAGGGTCAGGCAGAGGGACAGAAACAGGATGCAGGACAGATACAGGGCCCAGGACAAACACAACACCAAGGCAGAGTAGTCTGTGGGTCTGGCCATCCCAACTTAAATACCCCAGCATCATCAGTTCCAGGTGTTAGCTGGCTGAAAGGTTGAGTCTCTGATTGCTGGGAGCACCCGCTGGCCAGCCCTGGTACTGCAGATCAAAAGGCAGGTGAGTCCCACCATTGCTGGCCAGTCCATTCCTAACAATGACATTGTCCAAAATGTCTTCGTATGCTAATGCCTGAGGAGTTCCCTTCACTGGAACTAAGGGGCCAAGCCCAATCCCTGAGACACAACCCCCCCCCCCAACCACCACCACCACCAAACTTTAAACTTGGCACAATGCGGTCAGGCAAGTACTGTTCTCCTGGCATCTGCCAAACCCAGACACGTCCATTGCCAGACAGAGAAGCACGATTCATTGCTCCAGAGAACATGTCTCCACTGCTGGCCTACCACTTCGTGACTGAGTTGTTGTTGTTCCCAGTTGCTTCCACTTTGTTATGATACCACTAACAGTTGCCTGTGGAATATTTAGTAAAAAGAAAATTTCACGGATGGATTTATTGCACAGGTGGCAACCTATCACGGTACCATGTTTGAATTCATTGAGCTCCTGGGAGCAACCCATTCTTTCACAAATGTAGATGGATCAAATCTGACCTGTTCAGCAGGGACTGGCCAAATTTCAAACAGTGTGTGGCCAGCTGGAAAACTTCTGTTGCTGATCAGTGTATTCTGACAGCAACCAGTCCTGTTGGTAGAATACAATGTCCCCAAGCAGGGGGATTCCTCCATATACAGTGGGGATCTAAAGTTTGGGCACCCCAGCTAACAATTTGTATTAACGTGCATAAAGAAGCCAAGGAAAGATGGAAAAATCTCCAAAAGGCATCAAATTACAGATTAGACATTCTTATAATATGTCAACAAAAGTTAGATTTTATTTCCATCATTTACACTTTCAAAATAACAGAAAACAAAAAAATGGCGTCTGCAAAAGTTTGGGCAACCTGCAGAGTTAATATCTTGTACTGCCCCCTTTGGCAAGTATCACAGCTTGTAAACGCTTTTTGTAGCCAGCCAAGAGTCTTTCAATTCTTGTTTGAGGTATCTTTGCCCATTCTTCCTTTCAAAAGTCTTCCAGTTCTTTGAGATTTCTGGGCTGTCTGTCACGCACTGCTCTTTTAAGGTCTATCCATAGATTTTTGAATTATGTTGAGGTCAGGAGATTGGGAAGGCCATGGCAAAACCTTCAGTTTACGCCTCTTGATGTAATCCCCCGTGGATTTCGAGGTGTGTTTAGGATCATTATCCATTTGTAGAAGCCATCTTCTCTTTTAACTTCAGCTTTTTCACAGATGGCATCAAGTTACCATCCAAAATTTGCTGAAATTTTATTGAATCCATTTTTCCTTCTACTCGTGAGATGTTCCCTGTGCCACTGGCTGCAACACAACCCCAAAGCATGATTGATCCAACTCCATGCTTAACAGTTGGACAGAGGTTCTTTTCATTAAATTCTGTGCCCCTTCTTCTCCAAACGTACCTTTGCTCATTCCGGCCAAAAAGTTCAATTGTAACCTCATCGGTCCACAGAACTTGTTTCCAAAATGCATCAGGCTTGTCTATATGTTCATTTGCAAAGTTCAAACGATGATTTTTGTGGTGAGGATGTAGAAGAGGTTTTTTTTTCTGATGACTCTTCCATGAAGACCATATTTGTACAAGTATCTCTTTATAGTGGAATAGTGTACCACAACTCCAGTGTCTGCCAGATCTTTCTGATCCCTTCGTGCAGTCAAACGTGGGTTTTGAATTGTTTTTCTCACAATCCTGTGAGCTGTTCTGTCTGATATTTTTCTTGGTCTTCCAGATCTTGCTTTAACTTCCACTGTTCCTGATGACTGCCATTTCTTAATTACATTCCGAACAGAGGATATTGACATCTGAAAACGCTTTGCCATCTTCTTATAGCCTTCTCCAGCTTTGTGAGCGTCAACTATTTTCAGTTTCAGTTTTCTAGACAACTGCTTAGAAGAACCCATGGTGCTGATTGTTGGGGCAAGGTCAGATGAGTCAGGGCATTTAAAACCTTTGAGATTGACATAACCTGGTCTTCCCAGACGATGATTGAGAACAATCCATGACACTGGCAGGTCTCAGCTTGGCAAAGGGGGCAATGCATGCTATAAATTCTGCAGGGTGCCCAAACTTTTGCAGACCCCATTTTTTTGTTTTCTGTTATTTTGAAAGTTTAAATGATGGAAATAAAATCTAACTTTTGTTGACATATTATAAGAATGTCTAATCTGTAATTTGATGCCTTTTTTGATGCCTCAATTGCCAGGGAGCCATAGCTCTTTAACCGCTTCCATACAGGGCACTTTTACCCCCTTCCTGCCCAGGCCATTTTTCAGGTTTCAGCGCTCTCACACTTTGAATGACAATTGCACGATCATACAACATTGTACCCAAACTAAAATTTTATCATTTTCTTTACACAACTAGAGCTTTCTTTTGGTGGTATTTAATCACCACTGGGGTTTTTATTTTTTGCTAAATTAACAAAAAAAGACCAAAAATTTTGAAAAAAAACCCACGTTTTTCTTTGTTTCTGTTATAAAAGTTTGCAAATAAATAATTGTTCTTCATAAATTTAGGCCAAAATGTATTCTACTACATGTCTTTGGTGAAAATAACCCAAATTAGGATGTATTATTTAGTTTGTAGGAAAGTTATAGAGTTCACAAACTATGGTATAGATCTGAATATAATCTAATTTCTTGAGGTCCAAGAATGTCAGAACAGTACAGATATCCCCCAAATGACCCCTTTTTGCAAAGTAGACCGTCCCGATGTATTTCATAACAGGCATGGCGAGTTTTTTTAAGTTGTAATTTTTTTGTCATAATTTTTCAGAAATAAAGCAATAAAAAAATTGATTTTCACAATTTTTTTTTTTTACATACTGTCACCAGTGCAGTACAGCATCATCATATAACTGGCATGGCGGTGATCAGGGACACTGACTGGTGACAGTACAAAAAAAAATTGATAATTTTTTTTTAAAAAAATTTTATTAATTTTTTATTACTTTTTTCTCTTTTTGTAAGATTTTTTTTTCATATTTCACTATGACCAAAGCAGTATAATGTTACCATAGTAACATTGTACTACTTTGGGGAAGTGATCAGTATTTTTCTTTTTTACACA